TATTATGATTTTTTGGTATGATTAAGAAGAGAGCATTTATTCGCAATATGCTCCATGGAAGGATGTAAGCAAAATATTACAGTATCCGTTTTCACAAATCTTAGAGTGATGAACGGCTAAATAGGTGCGTTTACAGTAACAGGAGTCTGATTCAGTTATATGAAACGGAACAACTACTGCCGCGAGAAATCACAAACCAAACAGCCCCTAGAACTATTTGTCAGTTCTCATGGCACTTTTAATTCGATACAGTGCTTTAAGAAATTTAAACTTTTGCTAATTCAATAGTCAGATCAGAACTGAATAAAAGACAGACCAGTGAGGGCCAAATGTAAAACACAAAAAATAGAACTGCGTTCAGCACGACCACGTTGTGACTGAGGAAATGTATGATGTATTGAGGGGTTATCGAACCGCAAGGATGTGTATGTGCGTGACCATTAAACTAGACCGCCGATGGATATCTGCATTTGAAAACAGGAAAGTGTGATTCACAAAATCGACGGAATAAAACTGATCGATTCGAGCGTGCATGACGGAGATAGAGGAATTGCTGGTTGAATAAATTGGCGCGGCAATGATTTATTCTAGGCAAGCGCAGAAAATTTACAATGAACACGCGCAATGAATCGATAATCGCAGAGGATGCGGTCTAGATGGAACGAAAGAGATGGTGGAAAAACACCACAAGATCACACCTGAGCTTACATGTTAAAGATAACACACGTCGCTGGATTCAAGCGTGGTGGGATTAAGAAAGAACACGGGGTTGGGTTGAGAATGAAGTAGAGGATAGAATAAACAGCTGAGCGTGCACAAATCACAACAATGATGAATCATATTTGTGAGTGTGTTTAACTCGAGAACGGAACAATAAAACTCAGGAGTTATTCACCAGAGAATGAACGTTTCGTTTGACATGATAGACACGGATAAGTGTGGAATTGGAAGGTATATCAGCCCCTACCTCCGAATTGGTGCGAAGCAGATAGATAAAATTGATGACAGATATACATACATGCATACATACGGGACATAACGTAAGAGTAAACGACAACCAATGAAAATAATAAGGATTCTGGTCAAGAAACATCAGTTCTCAGGTGGCCAAGAAATTCTACTGGATCACATGGTCGGCTAACACCAGAATGACCAAACAATACAGACGAGAATCACGAGGGTGCTCGGACGAACACGTGGGAAGGAAGCCGGAGATCGTCTAATTGAGTGATTTATTTTTTTTCGCAAAGCAGTTCGGTTGACAAAAAAACAATGGAGCTATGAACTTGGAGGATTAATAAAATGACCTTTTTCTGATTGGTGCTGTATGGAAAGCTATTCTGTATGATCGCGGGGGCAGGAAAGCCATCACAGCGCATTAGGATGCAGTTTGATTACCAACAGCAAATAAACTTTAACGAATACACATATCATGAACGAGCGGATCAGGTGAATGACTCTTCACAACCATCAGCAACAAGACCGGCGAATATAAAGAATTGAGTGGATGTATACATTGATTTAACGTCATCAGTAAACTTTGGGGCCTATGGACGCAATTGTAATGATTAAGATTTGAAATTTACTCTGATTGCTTGATCCAATAATGTACTCAGCAAGGGTGTATTCCGGGTAGGTAACACTCCTCTGGATAACAGATATATATATATATATATATATATATATATACCACCGGCTTGAAAACAAGCATGGTGCCAACGCAACAACAATGACAGTGAAAGGGGATAGGTGGATTAAAATACAGAACATAGTGAAAAGTGGGTGAAACAGTTAAACATGAGAAAACAGAGATAACAGAAATTTTTTTTGTGTTTCACCGTACACCTTTTGCAATTTTTTGTTTTGTTTGACGTTTCGTTTTTCTTAAGGGGCACGGGATTTCGACAGACAGATCGTACAGCATTTGCGCCAATGACTTCTATTCTGCGCCATATCTCTCAGCGTCTCTAACCAGCGACAATCCTTATCCCTCGGGCCCCAACCTGGAAGGCGGGCTGCACCAACCGAAGCCAACTTCTTCATGCCTCTAGCCCATGTCATGGTCTGACCGCCGCGCCGCTTCTTCCAGCCT